CATCTCAAAAAAAAAAAAATTAATTAAATTAAAAAATAATAAAGAAAAAAAAGAAAAAGAAAAGGAAAAAGATTGAAGAAACTTGGCTGACTACAGACATTTAGTGATTACTCAATAGGTCCCAAAGGTCAGCACCTAAGACATAATTTGATTCCAATTTTTGCTGAAACACAATTTCATCTCAACTATTGTTATAAGGGAGGGAGGAAAGTGACATTATTATGAGTGTAAACCTGCCATTTTTAATTAAAGTTACTGACAATTGAATTAGCTAAGAAGGCTAGTGCATTCAAAACAAAATTGTTTATAAGCTAGCTAGTTATATTTCTAGAATGAAAAGTAAACCTATATTTAAGGACATTAATATTCTAAATTAGCACTTTGCAAACTGTGTTCTAAAAATCAACACTCATAACCAAGGAGATGATAATAATGTACACCGGACAGCCCCTGTGGTGGTGGTGTTGGTGGTTGTTCCTTTTGAAAGATAAACTTCATCTCAGAGTGCTCTCAAAGAGCATCTTTGTGGCCCATGAGGTGCTCATGCACAATGGGAGAAATTCAAATGCAATTACACTGTGGTGCCTTAGGAGAAAAAGCTGTTCCTTCTTCTAAGACTAATGTCCAAAGTAGTACACATTGACTTAGGCCTGCAACGCATTGAGAAACTAATTTTTCACAAAAAACATTCAATAAAGGGAACCTGTCCTTCCTACTGCATTCAACATTCTCTTAAGGCATAAAGGCATCAAATAAATAGCAACACTTTTTCTGAAATTGCTTATTTGCTAAGAGATTTTTCCTTCCACCATGATGTAGAAGATGAAAAGGGAAATTGATACTTAATATTTAGAATCTGGTATCGACATATAGTTGACTCCAATTTCTTAAACTGATTGAAGAGGAAAACCAAATGGCTGAAATAATTTTAATCTGTCCCTTGGCAGTATAGTTGTACTCACGATTTTAGTGTCGTTTTAAGGTGAGGCAAGCTGGCTGTGCTGTCTTCTACGAAAATGGTTGAGCATGAGCTGAACTTCAAGGAAAAACGATCCATATGTATCTAAAGAGGAAGGGAAGGATAAGGTAAACTTATCAAAGTGTGTTTTTTGTTTTTTCTCAGTCAAAATGTCAAATGACAAAGCACTAAGATATTTCTTACACTCCATGAACTGCCTGAGTGTGATATCATGTGCACTGTATAAAAAACCATTGGAGGCTCTTAACTTCCAGAGATTATATTGAGATATGAGTTAGAAAATGCTGCTCTTAATATGCTACCTGTCATCAAACCTAACAAGGATTTTATGAATTCTCTTTATATATAACGACAAAAGTTTAAAATACAATTTCATTGTTTTTTTCTACCACGATATAAAGCAGCTGAGAATTTCTATTAATTTATTACAATAAAATGCAATGTATTAAATAATACCAGTAGAAGAGAAATTTATTGCAATGAATACAAGACTAATGCATTTACAAACTTACTAATCCTACATGTATTATTTCAGGCAATATTGTGACAAAACAGGTGTTTCACATTCAGAGGTTCTGTGTGCCAGGGTTGCTAGGCCACCACCAAGTGAGGAAGCCATAGGTTTCTCTAGTCCTGCTTTCTTATGTGGAGGATAAAAGGATTATCATTTAAATATTCTCTCACACCCTGAAAACAGATAACAACTTATAAATTTTTAACTTTCACTTCATATTTAAATAAGACTACCATGACATGACTCAAATGAAACTCTCAGAGAACATTGCCATTCATTTCAAAAGTTGATTAATTTAATTCTATAAATCATCTGACCTGCACCTAGGCATTTTCCTGCTATACCCTTGCTCTCTGCCTAGAACACTGTTTTTCTCTCTCCTTGTTTCAGCAAGCTTGATTCCATCTACCTTCTTGGATCTTTTTGCCAGCAGCCACACAAAAAAAAACTTTTGTTTTTGTTTTTCTGTACACTGATTAATCAAATTCACCACTGGTTAGAAGACACTAATTCTTGCTGAGTATTTCCCTCATGAGAAAGTATGCCTCTCCATAAGAGTAAGGAGGGGCTCTTACTCTTTCTACCTCCAGCTGCTGAGCACAGAATTTTGAGTAAATCAAAAACTTCGACAAGTATTTAATAAATTAATTCAGTTATAATTTGGAAAATAATCTTACTACATTTAATTACACCAAAAATACTCTTAAAGGTTTACTGTTTATAGGTATTATTTAAGGTAGCCAACAAAAAAGAAACAAATCATCTAACTGCATTCAGCATGAATAAAGACTGTGAAATTGTATGATCTTTAACAAGAAATGGAAGGGGTTACGTAGTAGGTTAATAACAAAAACTAGAAGATAATTATACCTAGTAATTTAGTAAGTCAAAACCAAAGGCTTACCATCAAAGGTCCATGTAGAGGTCTTTCACTTCCTTGGTTAGGTCTATTCCTATGTATTTTATTTTATTTTTGCAACTATTATAAAAGGGGCTGAGTTCTTGGTTCGATTCTCAGCATTCGCGGTTAAGGTACAACAGAGTTACTGATTTGTGTACACTAATTTTGTCTCCTGAAACTTTGCTAAATTCATTTATCAGTTTCTTGGAGCTTTCTGGTGGAGTCTGTGGGGTTTTCTAAGTATAAAATCGTATCAACAAACAGTGACAGTTTGACTTCCTATTTACCCATCTGGATGCCCTTTATTTCTTTCTCTTGTGTGATTGCTCTGGCTAGATCTTCCAGTACTATGCTGAATAAAAGTAGTGAGACTGGGGCATCCTTGCCTTGTTCCAGTTCTCAAGGGGAATGCTTTCAACTTTTCCCTCTTTAGTATTATGTTGGCTGTGGATTTGTCATAGATGGCTTTTATTACATTGAGGTATGACCTTTGTATGCCCATTTTGCTGAGGGTTTTCATCATAAAAGGATGCTGAATTTTGTCAAATGCTTTTTCTGTGTCTATTGAGATGATCATGTGATTTTTGTTTTGAATTCTGTTTATGTGGTGTAGCACATTTATTGACCTGTGTATGTTCAACCATCCCTGGATCCCTGGTATGAAACCCATTTCATCATGGTGGATTATATTTTGATATGCTGTTGGGAACCACAAAACACTGCTGAATGAATGATGGACACAAACAAAAGGAAAGACATCTCCTGCTCATGAATGGGTAGTATGAATATTGTAAAAATGACCATATTGCCAAAAGCAATCTACAAATTCAATGAAATCCCCATCAAAATACCATCATCCTTCTTCACAAAACTAGAAAAAAAAATACTAAAACTCATATGGACCAAACAAGACTCCACATAGCAAAATCAAAATTAAGCAAAAACAACAAATCTGGAGGCATCAATCACATTCCCTAATTTCAAACTATACTATAAATCCATAGTTACCAAAACGGCATGAAACTGGTATAAACACGGGCAAATACACCAATGGAACAGAAGAAAGAACCCAGAAATAAACCCGAATATTTAAAGCCAAATGATCCTCAGCAAAGCCAACTAACATATAAAGTGAAGAAAGCAAACCCTATTCAACAAATGATGCTGGGAGAATTGGCAAGCCATATGCAGGAGAATGAAACTGGATCCTCAACTATCACCATCCACAAAAATCAATTCAAGATGGATCAAGCACATAAATCTATGCCTGAAACCATAAAAATTCTAGAAGACGCCGGGCGCGGTGGCTCAAGCCTGTAATCCCAGCAGTTTGGGAGGCCGAGGCGGGTGGATCACAAGGTCAAGAGATCGAGACCATCCTGGTCAACATGGTGAAACCCCGTCTCTACTAAAAATACAAAAAATTAGCTGGGCATGGTGGCGCATGCCTGTAGTCCCAGCTACTCAGGAGGCTGAGGCAGGAGAATTGCCTGAACCCAGGAGGCGGAGGTTGCGGTGAGCCGAGATCGCGCCATTGCACTCCAGCCTGGATAACATGAGTGAAACTCCGTCTCAAAAAAAAAAAAAAAAATTCTAGAAGACAACCTTGGAAAAACCCTTCTAGACACTGGCTTAGGCAAAGACTTCATGACCAAGAACCCAAAAGCAAATGCAACAAAAGCAAACAGGTAAGACTTAACTGAAGAGCTTCTGCACAGGGAAAGGAACAGTCGGCAGAGTAAACAGAGAACCCACAGAGTGGGAGAAAGTCTTCACACTCTATGTATCTGACAAAGGGCTATTACCCAGAATCTACAAGGAACTCAAACAAATTACAATTTACAAATTTCAATTACAAAAATATGGAACCAGCCCAAATGCCCATCAGTCAATGAGGGGATAAAAAATGTGATATACGTGTATATATTTTATATACATATTTTAAATACACACACACACACACACACACACACACACACATATATGTGATGGAATACCACTCAGTTACAATAAGGAATAAATTAATGGCATTTCCAGGAACCTCGATGGAATTGGAGACTATCATTCTAAGTGAAGTAACTCAGGCATGGAAAACTAAACATTGTATATTCTCATTTATACGTGGGAGCTAAGCAACGAGGATGTAAAGGCATAAGAATGATACAAGGGACTCTGGGGACTCAGGGGAAAGTGTGGGAAAAGGGTGAGGGATAAAAGACTACAAATCAGGTTTAGTGGGTACTGATCAGGTGATGGGTGCACCAAAATCTCACAAACCATCACTAAAGAACTTACTCATGTAACCAAATACAACCTGTTCCCCCCAAAACCTACAGAAATAAAAAATAGCTAAATAAACTACAGCAATCTTCTCAGCAAACATAAATAAAATAAAATAAAAACTAAAGTTTACATTTTTCTCTCTCCTTTTTGGCAGGACAAATTGTAGGCATAATAAACTATTAATAACTTTTTTCCTTTTTCTGAGACAAGGTCTGACTTTGTCACCCAGGCTGGAGGGCAGTGGTGCAATGATGGTTAACTGCAGCCTCAAACTCCTGAGCTCAAGCAATCCTCTGCCTCAGCTGCCTGAGTAGGTAAAACTAAAGGCATATGCCACTATGCCTGGCTAATTTGTTAGTTCACCATTTTGTACAGGTGAGGTCTTGCTATGTTGACCATGTTAAAAAATAAACATATCTTAATTAACTTAAATATTTCTAACACTGTAAGCATTCATGAAAACAGCTCCATCTATGTTGTGAAGTAATGGGATAATATGACAGTGTATAAAGTTTGAATGAAAATATCAAACAAGGCCTTGGAAGACAACTGTAATATGCTTATTACAGATCACTAAAAAATTGTCTGGGTTAATATCATGAATGATATTGAAATTAAGCATTAGGGCTGGGCGCGGTGACTGATGCCTGTAATCCCAGACTTTGGGAGGCCGAGGCAGGTGGCTCACGAGGCCAAGAGATCGAGACCATCCTGGTCAACATGGCGAAACCCTGTCTCTACTAAAAATACAAAAAATTAGCTGGGCATGGTGGC